GATCTGCTACCACCATCATTCTGTATGTTAAGAGGCAGTGATGTTGAATTTAACTTGGGTAAAATGAAAGTCCTAATTCTCACAGGGATAAAAAACAAAGTAACACAGAAATAGAAAGTAGAAAGAATAATATTGAGAAGTAATGTTAAAAATTTAAAACAAACCTTTCATCCTCTTAGTATTACATAATGCTCTTTCTTATAATTTTAATGAATTTAGAAATAATGGAGAAATATTCAGAGAAGACCATCACAATACTTTTGGATTTTCACATTCTCATTGATTTATACTTTTCACTTAAAAACAAAAACCTGAAATGTGCTTTCATGATAAAGAAGCATGGAGATGTTTTCAGGATAGTGCTAAGGAAAACATCTGGAAATGGTTTCTGCTTGAATGACTTTATTCATATATAAGGAGAACCACTGTAAAATATGTGTTAATATTTGGGAAAGAGGTCCTAGGTGTTGGCCCAAGAAGACATGAGTATTAAGCCTATGGCATGGCTGAGCGTTTATTACCAGTTGTTCTAGGACAAGACTCACTATTTGAATATAAATATGGAGGAGGCAGTTGGAAGTGAGGTCTCCTGACCATTCTATGACATCACCAGCTTCTCTTACCCTGGTTTCAACTGCCAACCTGACCTGCTTTGCTGGCCCTTGTGTCTCAGATCCTGCTGGAGACTGAGCTATAGGCAGAGCCTTCAACTCTGATTACTGATACTTGCTTTTAGGTTAAAGGATTCTCAAGTGTTGTGGATACTGATCAACTTTATCTCAACAGTAAGTTAATAAGTAAAGTAGTTCTCACCCCTAGTCCTCATACAACCTATTCCCTTTCATTTGATTTTAACCTATTACGTGTTTGGGTCTTCTCCACAGTCTCTGGCTCTACCTGTACCACCATATCCATCATCATGGAAATACACATTGGGCCTTCTTGTCATTCAAAGCCTGAACTGAGAATTTCAGACAATGAACAGGAATTACGATCAGAGCTGGAGAAGAGTAAAGAGAAGTTTCATGAACTCAAAGAACGTTTTCTTGTGTCTGAAGCTACTGTCTATTCCATGGCTAATGAGCTGAAAAAACACAGTAAGTTCTATGGTTCATGATCCCCAAAGTGGTGAATGAGTTCTTTAATTCTGAGAAAGGTGCTTCTCTCCACAATTGATGTTCCTTCTATGTTCCTAGAAAGCTAATTGTTAGCTTTTGCCTTCAGGTAATGATGATGGAAAAATGGAGATTTAAAGGATTCTGCAAATTCTTACTCTTTTTAAATTCTCACAGTTTTAATTTCTGAGAAAGGGTTTTACTATATCAATGAGTATGATCTTGAACTCACTATGTGGCCCAACCTGAGGTCAAACTCAACAGTGATTCTCTTACCTCAAATGAGACGACGGACATGTGGGTTATCGTTCTAGAGTAAAGTATAGAATAAGACTAGGGTTCAAATATGTTATTGATTCCTTTTCCAAATATGGAATTACTTGTTTTTCTCAAGATCAGGTATCTCATTGTTGTTAGACCCTCACTGTACCCTAGGAGCTCCTATAGATGGATAATACCACTGTTGGCCTAGAGGTTTAGGACCAATGATATTCTGTTAAAGTTTCTGTTGACACCTTAATGCCAAATCATTATTCTGATTATGTGGGGGAAGAAGTTTGTCATGTACTCCTGTTTTATTGGGCTTATGGAGAATTCTGCTGCTAACTGAAAGTATAGTAGCCATAACTGTCACCATGGAGACCGGGAACTGCCCTCAGGAAGAAGCCCTGAGTCCTAGATTGCAGGCTTTTCCCTTAAGTCCAAGAGAA